TATATATATATATATATATATATATATATATATATATATATATATATATATATATATATATACATATATATATATATATATTTCTTCTATTATTATTATTATTATTATTATTATTATTATTATTATTATTATTATTATTATTATTATGTTCTCGTCGTTATATTAGTGGCCGATGGGAGAGGCCCGTGAGAGAGAGAGACGAGTGCAGCAGTGATTGAGCGAGGGAGAACGAACGCGGAGTGATCTTTCTGTCCCTTTCCACGCTGTTCTCGCCATTTGTTTGGCGGAGAGGAGGAAGAAAGAGGCCCATATGGAAGAAGCAAGAGATTCTACGATGACGGTGAAATGCGCGTGGAGGCAGAGCCTCTGAGATCTTCGTTCCGAGGAAGCTTGGATTTTTTGGCACTCCCTCTCGTTTTCGCGACAGCTCCTGCGGTAAAGTTGCCTCCTTGAATTGTTTTCTGCCTGTGGCGTTGTTTTCCCGTTATCTCCGATCCACCGATGGGCGCCATCGAACAATAGAAAATAGGAGCCAAGATGCGATCTTGCGTACTTTTCTGAACTCGAAGTGAGGTAGGGGAATCACCCTTTATGAAAGCTCTGTTTCCTATTCCATCTTTGTTGCTGTATTATTCCGTGCCTATCAATGTCGGTTTTTTGATGCATGGCCGGCTAATCTCTTCGTTCTGTCTTCTCCTCTCCTCGCAATCCTCATTCACATGCACATTGTTCTGCTCCTAGGTGGAAGGGAATGGCATTTTCTGGATCTGTGTAAGTATATCTTCTGGCGAAATCTTGATTTTGCTGAAGGGAAGAGAGCAATGTCGAGGCCACTCTACCGTGGTTTTTCTGGGGGCGGAAGGGGCAGCGGTGGCGCATGCCGTGACCCTTTTGATTTGAGCTACCAGGCGAAGGATTTCGCGGAGAATGGGCACGACCATGAGGCGGGAAGCCCCGCCGGGACAAATCGAAGCCGGCAAAGCCTTATTTTTGCCCTCCTCAAGCTGGGTCTAGTTGCCATTACCGTCCTTGCACTCTTCGGTTCGCTCTATTGGGCTATATCTATCTCCACCTCCGCTCGAGGCAACGTCTATCATGGCTATCGACAGCTCCAGGAACAGGTCGTTGCCGATCTCGCAGAGATCGGGGAGCTGTCGCTAGGAATCGCGCGGCCGAATGAGTTGGAATTTTGCCCGCCTGAGTATGAGAATTTTGTCCCTTGTTATTACAATGTCTCGGAGAGTTTTGATTTGGTAGATTCGGTGGTTCCGACTAAGCATGAAAGAAAATGCATACGCGATTCTGAGAAGGGTTGTTTGATTCTTCCTCCGACGAACTATAGAATTCCACTGAGGTGGCCAAGCGGGAGGGACTTCATATGGAAGGCGAATGTCAAGATCACAGGACAGGAGTTCTCCTCTGGGAGCTTAACTAAGAGGTAGGATGGCTATTATTATTATTATTGTATTTTCCATAATTTGTCTTAATTATCACTACATTCCATTTAATACGTGTGACTAATTATCTGTTTATTGCTAGGATGATGGTGGAGGAAGATCATATCTCTTTCCGATCCGACTCCTTCATGGTTGATGGTGTAGAAGATTATACACATCAGATAGCAGAGATGATTGGATTGCCAAATGAATCTAATTTCATTGAGGCTGGGGTCAGTGCAATTTTATGCTTCGTAACAGCTGACTATTATGTTACTTGATTATTGTGCTGTTAAGGTCATTTTAGCTATTAGTTACTATTCATCCCAGTTCAGATACAAAATGTTAAATACTCCCGAGATAAGACAAAGTTAATTGCTTTTCCAAAAGATCATAGAGTTTCATACATATGATACTTTCTTTCCAACTTAAAACATTATGCAGAGGATTCTTTCTTTCCAAGGACAATTGTATCTCTCTCTTCAAGTTATATAATTTCTCCATGGGTTTTGAAGTCAAATTTTAAGAGACTTTAGGCTATCATAGCTTTAACATTTTCAAAGTGGTGCTAACACCTTTACCATTCTGTATCTTTATTATGTCCTCTGTAGTTATCAAATTATGATTTTGTACAAGTGCGATTATCTGAAGGGTAAATTTACAGTCATAATTTACAATGTTCATTAGATTCTCTCTTTCTTGTCATTGTTTTCATTAAAAGAAAGTGCACATTTTTTTTTCCAGATTCCTCCGTTAATAACTTCTAGCTTAAATTTGAGATAAATCAGCTCAGAATAACCTGCATTAGTTGAATGACATTTGTCTTCAACCCTCACCCTGTTTTGATATTTAATTTAGTGTTCTGATACTAAATTGTTCTTGTTTATTATGGTTATGTAGCATTTGGTCTTCTTGCTATAACTATCCATTTAAGTATTAATTACATATTAGTTTTGACTGAATTGTTCCAGGTAAGAACTGTCCTAGATATAGGCTGTGGTTTTGGTAGTTTTGGAGCACATCTCTTCTCAAAGCAGTTATTGACCATGTGCATTGCAAATTATGAGGCATCAGGTAGTCAAGTTCAACTCACCCTTGAGAGAGGCATTCCTGCTATGATTGGTTCTTTTTCATCAAGACAGTTGCCATATCCATACCTTTCCTTTGATATGTTGCACTGTGCAAGATGTGGGATTGAGTGGGAGAAAAACGGTTAGTAATATTTGCCTACTTAAGAATTACTGGTAACCTCATATGTATTTTCTTTTCCTTTCTTTTTCTCTAAAAATTCACGGGAGTCAGCTTGAAGCAGTCCTTTTCAAACAAACTACTGTATCATAATAAACCATTTATCAAACAGAACATGACAACAACATTTAAGCAGGTGTGGCATCATCAGCTCATTTAACACAAATATGTTTGAAAAGGACATTATAAGAACTAAACTTCCATTCTGATAATCTGAGAACAATTTATAAGGATGATGATTTTCTTTGCTACATAAATAGGATAATGCTGCATCTTCTGTACAATTTTGATCATGTTTCCATAAACTTTTGGTATAAGAACTTAATGTCTTCATTGTTAAACAGATAATGAAGGTAGGTGCATGAATTTTATTATCTGGAGTGGTCGATGGACAAAAAAAAATGGTTTCTTGCTGGTAAAAATTGCATATATTCACTTGTTTTTCTGCTTCCTCTTTCTCACATCCATAGCCACTCATCTTGTGATCCGCTAAACCAACTTGATGACATCCCACTCTGTGATTATGCTTTTAAGTTATATTGGCCTTATTGTTGTCCTACCCTGGTGCTGACCGTACTTAGCACACTTCTCTCTACCACTGTTCATCTTCTATTCTTTTCATTGTCTCATCTTGTGATCCGCTAAACCAACTTGATGACATCCCACTCTGTGATTATGCTGTTAAGTTATATTGGCCTTATTGTTGTCCCACCCTGGTGCTGACCGTCCTTGGCACACTTCCCTCTGCCACTGTTCATCTTCTATTCTTTTCATTGTTTAAGTTTGACAAACTGATATTTTTTACATTGTTAATATGAAATTCTTCCATCATCCACCTTCTATTATTTGTATCCTTCCTCCTAGTGGTCTGTGGCCTATCAAACTCACATAATTATAGTCATATGGCAATAGTGTTAATCATGATAATCATAGTTCGTTAAAGATTACAATAACTTACAAAATAGAGATTTATTTTGTAAATGTTATTATTGTGTGATGTGATTTGTTCACCAAAGAATGGTTCAAAATCTCGTCCAAATAATCCTGTACCAAACATTATTTTCAGAAGTAGCATATATTCCTTTTCCTTTCAGATTTGACGATTATCATTTTTTAATTTAAAACCTAAAAAGTTTGACCTCGGCAGTTATTGCTGTAGTAAAACAGCTCTCTCTCTCTCTCTCTCTCGTCCTATTGTCCAATCCTTGCTTGTCACCGCCTCTCGTGCCGCCCACTGCTCACACTACCTCCTGCTTGCTGCCACCGCTGCCCTTTTGATACTTATCCTCTTCTCCTTCTCCTTCTCTTCTTCCTTCTCCCCTCTTCTTGACACCGATTGGTATGGCAGTATATCATGTGTTGATATGCTGATCTTTACCGAATCCATACTGGTACATGCAAGAACCACACCAGTCTGGCCAGGCACCGGTGTGGGATCAATATTCAAAATTTTAAAGCACCAAAGATATGAGTTATTTATTGTACATGATAGCTTAGGAAATTATAATGGCTTGAGTAATAGTATTTCATAATTTCTTTACAAGAACCTTATAGAAATTTATATATCAGCTTCTCCAATTTCCAAGACTGAGTCCTGGATTCATTGAGGACTAGGTCAAGTTGAGTTTCTTGGTTTTTGAGGACTAGGCATGGTCATTACCAAAAAGAATTTCCTCTTAATTTTTTTTCCTGATAGCTATAAGAGGATGAGAATGCTGACATGTTTCACTAGCGCTGGATCCAAGAACAGATCTTTATGAATAAGGAACTTTACAAACATTGGGATTGTAGGACATATTATACAATTTTATACAATTCTCAAGAAGGTTGATGTATTAGCTAAGTGGTAAAAGAAGGTACAACAATTATATCATGAACAAGGAGGAATGTAGGACCTATGTAAATTGCAAGTAACCAAAAAAACAATTGGATTGCACCATTATCTGGAACCCTAAGGTTGAATGCTAAAATTTGACACATTTAAGCTTGAGGGAACTGGTAACTACCCTTCAAAAGTCCATAGATTTCAGTCTAATTGAAGGCAAGTTGCAGCTTGTTAGTTACTTTTAGATGTGTGTCGCATAGAAATTTATGACATTCGTATCTCATACTCTTTAATATAACAGTATATATGCTTTCTTTGGCTGGAATGTGAAAAGAATACACTTATTTTCTAATTTATATGTGATTTTCATATTCTCCTTGTTCATTTAAGTAGTTTCTCTTGAGAATATCTTAGTAAGTTGATATAATCATATGCTAAATCTAAGCTAAACTACCAACTAAAGTTTATATTTCTAAGGTATCAAAAAATATTAATGTATTTTTGGTGTTGAAATGAAAAGTAGTAGGAAATCAGTTGTTCTTATATCTTCAGAAGTTCATTAAGCTTTTCTTTAGGTAATGGATTATGGATACTAAAATTCTGATATCATGGCAGATGGTATTTTCTTACTTGAAGTTGATAGACTTCTAAGACCTGGAGGTTATTTTGTCTGGACTTCACAAATGAATACTCACAGATCTTTGCGTGATAAAGAAAATCAAAAGAAGTGGTCAATGATTCATGATTTTGCCGAAAATCTTTGCTGGGACATTTTGTCACAACAAGATGAAACAATTGTATGGAAGAAGACAAGCAAAAAGAAATGTTACACTTCTCGGTATCAAACCCTAGTTCATATCCTTTCTTGTTATATCTCCCATATTATGATTCCACAGGGACAAGCTAACTGTGATCCTTTATACAGCAATATATTTTATTATCCCAATTATATGCATTAAACAACTTTTACTTTTTTACAGGAAGGCGGGCCCTGCAGTTTGTGATAGAAGCCACGATGTTGAATCTCCATATTACCAACCACTAAATCCCTGCATATCAGGGATGGGGAGTCAGCGATGGATTTCCATCGAGAGCCGTACACCTTGGCCCTCTCGAGTTGCCTTGAATTCAACTGAACTTGGTATATATGGTAAATACAAAATCCAGCTAGTGAATGAATGTATCCGTGATCCTCACGTGCATGCAACTCGTGCATGCACAAATTGCGTGTGTGTATACAAGATTGCTGTAACAATATCATTATCATCTCATCATCCATTTTCAAATATTTCTCTAACACAGTTTCTTACCAGGTGTACATCCTGAGGACTTTGCCGAGGATGCTGCTAGTTGGAAGTCAGTGGTTCATAATTATTGGTCACTTCTTTCACCACTTATATTCTCAGATCATCCAAAGAGACCTGGTGATGAGGACCCCTCTCCACCTTTTAACATGCTAAGAAATGTCCTTGACATGAATGCTCATTTTGGTGGTTTTAATGCTGCTTTATTGGATGCTGGGAAATCTGTGTGGGTGATGAATGTGGTGCCCACAAATAGCCCCAAGTATCTTCCTATGATTTTTGACAGGGGCTTTGTTGGTGTTCGACATGATTGGTATGTGTACGCCCACTGATATCCCCTTTTACATTTGTTGCTGCCTCACCCATACATCTTGACTGATATCTGCATGTATTGATGCAAATATGCCACAAAAGCATTTTTATTTCCTCTAGATCTAATGATGAGGTTTTAATTTACAAAATATTTCAGGGCAAAACACAGTTCTATTATGTTAGTTTTCATTTATATCATCCGATAGTGCACTTTTTGCCATCTTGTTTCATTGTAAGAAAATCAAGATTGATTCATGTTCCATCATTGTAGAATTCAAGACCTCTTAATGTTCCTTAATAATCAAAATTGTTCAGTATGTGTTTCCATATATCTCTTAGCCGGAAATTTAGACCTGTTAATTTCTTTATGTTCCAGTAATTGTGTTAATATTAAATAATAATCACTCTCACCTGACCGCTTCTCTAACTCCCTTTCCTTTTTAGCAATCACTCCTGTGGTTGATCCTGCATAGTTAAGCCTCGTGGCTTGGGCATCATAAGGCTGCATCCTAAACATGGGGTTCTATACTTAACTTAGTATAACTTCGTATTCTGTCTATTTTACCATGCTGATCATTGGAATTGTAGTTGGTTACCCCTGGTATATTCATTATTCAATCTCTAGCATAGCTGTTCACTTGCTGTATCTTTTCAAGAGCTTTAGTTATCTAATTAAGAATCCGATATTTGATAAGGTGTGAAGCATTTCCAACATATCCAAGGACCTATGATATGGTCCATGCTGAAGGATTGCTATCTCTTGGGACTCATCAAAAGCAAAGGTGCTCCATGCTTGACATATTCTTAGAGATTGATCGCATTCTACGACCTGAGGTACAAAACATCTTATTTGTTTGTGCACCTTTTATATGCTAAAAGATATTGATACCCAGATTGCAACATTTTCAGGATAGAATATTTTCTCCAGATTTTTTCCCAAATTCCAGAAATTCAATTAACATACTGTGACATTATTAATGCCTATGGTCTTTGTGGGTGTCATTCAAGTTTGGGGCAACCTTTGGTTTGATTGATAAGAAAATTTGTATTGTGGATTTCTGTTCTCAAATATCAGCAATCTCTAACTCTTTGTGGATTGGATGGGGAAAGATAAAAGATTTTTTTCATTGATGAGTCATAGGTACCTTGATTCTATCTAAATAAAGAAACACCTCACAACATAGCTAATGCCAACAACCCCAAGTTTGTGGCAGGACGTAAAAGTTATTCACTAATTGACTTCCTCACTTCCTCATCCATGGTAATTGTTTTACTAACATTCTTGGAGGTGTATGAGTCCGGGATTAATCATGGTATCATATTTAACCACTGCAATTTGTCCTTTCACTAGAATGTTGGAAATCAAGGACATAACTGAACAAGAAGTTTCATTATCCTCAGTGAAGTTAAAGTCAGAAAATAGATTAATTTATTAGAGTTTTTGTATCAGACCTGCTAACTTTATTCTAGATTTGCTGCATATTCTTCTTTATGGACCTCTTAGTTCAAGTGATGAATTGGTCGAAGGACATATTTTTAAGAAAATGAGTTACTTATTAGTGGTTGCAAACTTCTGTAATCATGTGAAATGACCATTTTGTTTCAAATAACAAGTTAATTTATCTTGACAAGCTCTGCATTGTTAAGAAAAGCATTACTAAAATACATGGATTCAACTATTCATCATAGCAGGTTGTCTCATTTCTCCTTGTTGTATCCTAGTGGTGGTTATGTTATTTTCAAATAATCATTTAGTTGTTACATTGTATGTCAGTTTGCCAGTATTCTGTTTGTGCTGTTGTTTTTTTTTCTTGTTACTCTTGTAAAATGTTTTGCTATTTTCTCAAGGCAATTTCCAATTGTAATTGTACTTTGTATTAGAATAATCTAATATTTTAAACACAAGTTAAACCTTTCTGCTGACTATCTTTTAGACAAACAGGACAACTCTTCTGCTTATTTTCCTTTGCTAGGATTTTATGTTGGACTTTGATGGTTGTCATCAGCTTGACATATACAAGCCTCTGGCCTGCCTATACCAGTGTGGCTATGATTTTAGGCCAAATTCCAATTTATAAGAACTGACATCTGAAATCGATATTAATTTTTTGTATAATCATGAGACAAAGCACGTGTGACATGCTAGTCTTCAGATACTTCTCATTCCTCATTAAACCCTAGCATTCTCAGAGCCTAGCATCCATCTCTGACACTGTCATCAGTATATGGTCACACCAAGTCAAACTTTAATCATAAACACCTAGATTGACTTTGTTAGCAATCCCAATGCTGCTTCTCTCCAGTAGCTCTTGATGATACATGACGTGGGCTATGCCATATTCTTCCATCCCATACAGGTATCCAAGGTCTTTTGTCATGGTCATCTGATGTGGGGAAAAGTAATAGCATATCATGATTTTGAGATTTTTCTAGAATAACTCGGTATCAGTGATAAAATTTTTTTATGTTCGTAAATGATGGATCAGAGAGGATGGGAAAAACATCTCATAATGCACAGCTAGTGTCTTTATATTGTTTACATTGTTTGTTGATTATGGAATGGTTCAATTTTGGGAGCTCATAAGAATGCTGTATAGTGTAACTCTTCTAATTTTAGAGAAGGAAAACTTAAACATGCTCAGAAAAATAATTTGTTCTGAGATGTTGTAATGACCCAATGATAATTGATTCTGTATTATAACAAAGTGCCTTCTCAGAAACTTTCTCCATGTCTAGCTCCAGTTGGTTCAGTTGTAAGCTATTCGTAAGTTTTGATTATAATCATTAAACTTGTACTAAATCTGATACTATTGCTGGCACAATGCAGGGCTGGGTGATAATTCGTGACACAGCGCTTCTTATTGAAACTGCTAGATCCATGACCACACAACTGAGATGGGATGCCCGCCTGATCGAGCTTGACAGAAGCAGCAACGAGAAGCTCCTAGTTTGTCAGAAGCCGTATTTCAGGAAACAACAGTAGCTCACACAACTACAGCAGTTTTGCATAGGATAAAACATTTGTTATTTGTCGATAATGTTTTCCGTAAAATGTCATCATGGTAGGTGGAATCAGAAGAAAGAATAGAAAACGTGGTGAGGCAAAGAATTTTCAGCAAATGCTATTCCTGCGGAACCACAAGGTTCCATTGGCTATGTGATTACATTATAAATCTGCATCAGAAGGCATATGCCGAGTTCACCATGTTCCTTATAAAGATAAAGAAGATGAAGCCAGACATTGTGTTGGAAGAAACATACTGGTTCAGGAATGATGCTGCAGTATATATGATTCAGCAACAATTCTAATTCTTTCTCTCATTTAATATTTCATTAAGCAGCACTTTTTTTCTTTCTACCTGTAGATCTCATCTATGTGACTATTGAATGGTTATAGCTTTGAGAAAGAGAAAGAGCAAAAGAAAAACCATATTGACATTTTTTATTGTTTCAATATCTATCAATTCTCTGATTAGCTTCAGCAGTCAAACCTGTGATTGATGAAAAGAGACTGATCTGATTGCATTCATCCAACTATTGTTTCTTAATCCTTTCAATTGGATTTCTGTCATTTAGCCAGCATAGGCAAAAAAGAAAAGAATATTATGTCATATATATCATCTTATTTGAGTTTATGTGCATCCCCAACTTAATGATGGTTAAAATATTATGTACATTTGTTTGGTGTCTGGTTTTGTTAAAAAAACTCTAAAAATAGAGATTTAGCTGAAATCATTAAGCAAGTCCTTTTATTTCTTTTGGTGCTAAAAAATGGAAAACATAATAAACTACCTCTAATCATTTTTATTTTTATTTGTTGATCTCAATACTTAAAATATTTAATTATGTTAAAAAATGTTGTAATTGAGCTTCAATTATTTTGAGTTTTTACTAACTTTAATCATCAATGGAACTCTAACTTTTGAGGTTTTATAAAGTAATTTATATAAAGGTTTGAATAGTTCTTGATGAATTATAAGACATTTGGTTCTTTTTCCGAGAAATGATACTTAAAAGGTTTGTTAAAGATACTCATTTTATGTTTTCCCAATAATTGACTTTAATATATTAAGGGTAAAATTTTCAAACGAAAGCTAAAAGGTTTTGTACTTTTACTCGTAGAATATTTATTTTTTATTTATTCACACGTAACACTTTTTTATTTTTATAAAAAATAATATTACCCTCATCCTTCACCTCATAGGCTATCACCTTAATTTCTTTGTGCTTGTTCTTGTTTATTTTTGTCAAGACATCAGTAAATAGCTAAAGGCCTTACCTCTGTCTCATTATCCTTGTCATCGACCTTGATAAAAGAAAAAGAGGTGAGCATGATGAGGTTTCCTCTTTCTCCTCCGACGTATCAAAGTAAAGGATAATCATTCGAGGAAAGAAAGAAGGGAAGCTTTACTGTGATTATCTCTTTTCCCTCTACGATTGATTAATGGAGCAAAGGTGTGAGGCATAGTAGCGATGAGGATAGGGATTGAAGGGCAAAAGATAATGAGAGACGAAGGCTGTTCACTATGAGAGAATAAAAATACTCTGAGAGAAAGTAATCTCATCGTTTAGAAAATAAAGATACTATAAGAGAGAGAGTAATATCAAAGGAGTAGAAGTTACAAAGTAATCTCATCTTTTAGAAAATAAAGATATTATGAGAGAAAAAAAATAAAAAAAGGGAACGAAAAAAAAAAAGTGAAAACTTAAAATTTCAACAAAATAATAGCTGCAAAACTAATATCGTGGGCTACTCTTGACTTCCACTCCTTAAAGAATTTGAAATATCTATAATAAATAAAATCCAACAAAATATATGATCAAATATTAAGTTGTATTAACGAAAATAATATTCCGTTGTGCATCGCAGCTGCTTGCGACCACTACAACTATATAGGTGGTGACGTACACAGAACCGTGACGACCTCCTCCGAGAGCCGAACCCGAAGGCGAGGCGGCGGCGATGTCGCAGTTCTTCTCCGCCGCCAAGCGGCTGCCCGCCCTTCTTCTCCCCCGACACCATCTCTCTACTTCTGCTCTCTCCACCTCCTCCTCCCTCCCCGATGGAGCCACCCCCGCTACCGCCGCCTCGGGCCTCCCCTTCCTCAACTGCCGGCGCCGGAAGAAGCTTCGCAAGAAGCTCCAGAGCCCTCGCGTCGCTCCCATCCAGAGGGATGCTGTCCGCCGCCTTCCCGACTTCGAAGCGGTCGTTCGCCTCGACGCCGCCCTCCGCTTCATCTCCCGCACTAAGTGCTATCTCTCTCGCCTACCCGGCCACTGCATCCCCCTCGCTGACGCCGGCAAGCTCCACCGAGAGCTCGGTTTTCCTCGTGGTCGCAAGGTCTCCCGCTTCGCTGCACGCCACCCGCTCCTTCTCCACCTTCCCCGCCTCCCGCCGGACTCCAAACCTCTCCTCGCCTTCACCCCGCTCATGGATTCCCTCATCGCCGAGGAGCTCGTACTCATGGACGCCATGGAGTCCACCCGGGTTACCACCGTCCGCAAACTCCTCATGATGTCCGCCGGACGCCGCATCCCCCTCGCCAAGCTCCACCACTGCCGCCTCCTCTTCGGCCTCTCTGATGACTTCCGTGATCGCGTCCATAAGTATCCCGACTACTTCCGAGTCGCCGTGGATCCTAAAGACGGTCGCCATGTGCTCGAGCTCGTTGAATGGGATCCAGCCCTCGCGGTCAGTGCCCTCGAGAGGGACTTCGTCCCTGATGAAGCCCGGGTCCGTCGAACATTCAAGTTCCCCATCCGCCACGGAAAGGCGTTACCTTTGCAGGAGGACGACGAGAGGAGGCTGAATTCTCTGACTACACTACCCTTGGTGTCGCCTTATTCAGATTGTTCAGGCCTGCAGCCGTGGACAGTGGAAGCGGAGAAGTATCGGGTCGGTGTGATCCATGAATTTTTGAGCCTGACTTTGGAGAAGAGGGCGTGGATTCATCACATTGTGGAGTTCAAGGAGGAATTCAACCTCACGAAGCATACTTACCCGATGCTATTGAAGCAACCTCGAGCATTTTATCTTGCAGGAACCGAGATGAATTGGGCTGTGTTTCTAAAGGATGCTTACAGGGAGGATGGGACTCTGATTGAGAAGGATCCACAGGTGTTGTTCAACGAGAAATTGCAACATTATGCTTTGACAGAATCAGAATCTGGTGAGGGGGTTTCCTAAACAAAGAAGTTTGGGCTAATTGAGTATAGTGAAAAACAAATGTTCTTAATAAAATTAGTTTCGGTCAATGATAACAAGGCCAACTCAGGGGAATTGGAATTGCAAAGTTGTAAGAGACAGTGCCTAGAAAACTTTGATCAGGTGTTGTTCCTGGAGCAATGAAGGTATTAACTCTTGACTTTGAACAATTTGTGCTCATTCATGTATTTTACTCCATGTCATGTGTACCATTTGGATGTAGTGAACATTCCAATTTGTGTTTGCTTTTGTGTTGAATTATGTCCTGATTATTGTGGCATTTTTTTGTGCTTGTGACCTCGAAAGTGTGAATTTAAGACTCTTATTGTTTTAAATTGTTGAACTTGCTAGATCATGTAAAATGAGCATCATGAAGTTATATATTTGTCGACTTCAAATTGACTAGCGGTGTTACACAGTGAAGTTTGGTTTTCTTGGATCATCATGATGGGGCATGTGGACGATTCAATAATTGTACTAGTGTATCACTGTAACGTCACGAACTTAGTTGGTTTTGTTAAAATTGTGCAGTACCTTTGCTTGTTCGTCCGTAAAAGGTCAGCCTCTCCGAAATCTCTCATGGTCCTATAAGGACCTAAAAAAGAGAAGATGAGTTAGAGGAAACATCTAACTTAGTATTCCATAAGTAGATGTTTCAGCAAGCACTTAATAGGCAATGCAAATGACAAACATAGACTTAACAAGCTTTGAACAGTCACGCGATAAATGATTTAAGGTGGTTTGCCATGGTCAAAAGTTCCTACAAGTGCCCATATGATATTATTACGGAACAAGACAACGAACCAGTCCTAGACAATAACCCAAAGGTCTATCCAGCCATGTGCCGTCCGGGTAGCTTTAGGGTGCTGTATTGGCTGACACTCTGCACCACTCTGCAAAGTTAGAAAACCCCAAAAATCGCTATCTAGATAGCTTGTTCTTGAGCAGTTTTGCCTCTGTGTGATAACTGCACACAACCTGTATTAATAGGACTAAAATGACCACAAAAGCCAACCAAAGAGGGGTTGCCCAGCCTACTGCAAGTCCTCTACATGTTGTGCAAAGCATGAACAAAACTAAAAGATACCGACATACACAAACATTACATCAAACACCCTTTATGCAGATTTGTCCGTGACACTCCCCCACTTATTCCTTCAACGTGCTCGTTGAAGCCTTTACGGACGTTACATTTCCTAGTCTTTGCTAAATCTTTAATCTTTTGCTTTAGCTACAACGCATCTCCCTCGACTTTGAGTTGCTATTCGCCACTGTTGTTGAGTAGTCAAACTTTGATTCGCTAACGTTGTTTCAACTCACTAGTGACTTTGATTGGTGTGGGGTCGGTCGAGTTGTCTTGATTTTTTTTTGTTTCTGCGGATCCCTTAAATGAAAGAAAAGACCTTCCTTATGTGTCAGCCTTTTAAACATTTTGTATTGCTTGAATTGGGTGAATGCCTGTTGGAGCTTTAACGACCATTGCCTCACAGACTTTAAAGTTTTTGAGATATTTTCTTCAGAAAATTTGTCCATCAATTTCTCTTCTACTTAGTTGTCGCTTCAAAGTAAGTTCACATCACTTCCACTTTCGCTTGATATTTTTTTGGGAAATGAAGTGGACAATCTACTCTTAGTAGAATCGATCACTATTGGTGAGGATTTAACAACTGTTGTCTTCTGCTAAGTCTCCTCGAAGGGTCTTTGAACATGTGCAGAGCTCTGCTACTAAATAAATAAAAGAACTGTAGTACTCGGTTTTACTCATTCTCTTAAGAATTGAGAAGGTAAAGATTATTTGGTTTTGCTCGCCTTCTTGAGGGTTGTACTTAATGCATCAAGCTGGTTACTAACCTTCACTTGCGCTTTGCTCATACTTTTGAAGCACCTGAAGTGTTTGCACTCATTGCATTGAGCTAGTTATTGCAATTTGCCTCCTCATTGTTATTAAACTTCTGGAATGCAAGAAGTTTTAACCAAAAAGAGCAAAATTTTGTCCCAACTTGGAGTAAGTCTCCGATAATTTTGGTTATCTTTGGGATTGTATCATCTTCTTCATCATTTTTTGTCGCATACTCTTTTGAGTATAAAGGTACAACACCGTGTACTGTCTACTTTGTTCATTGGTCGAGCACTTCTGTATCAACTCAAAATCCCCCACTTTTGGCTATTTTGACGAGAAGCCCGTCGACACTGGTCTTACGAAGTTCCTTGGCCTCTTCCCTTCTTTGTTATCTCGGTATTTGGAGTTTGCCTCTATAATCTTCACCTTCTCGGCCCCCTTTTATAACCATGCACTCTCCCTCCATGAGAACAAATGATCGATGACTCAATAAAAGTCTCGCTTCTGTGGTACAATGGTGCTACCATGCCCATGGCCCTACTATCCATTGTTTTGCATTTGCGTCCTTTTCTTTACGATTGGTAGATCCACCTCTGCGACACTGTAGCACTCCTCTAAGTCCACCTCCATTATAACTGACGCTTGGTTTTAAGTAGCTAAGTCCCTGTAGACTCATTGTTGTTTTCTTACCCATTTTGACTACCCGCTTCAACACCTCTATGTTCCCTGAGCAATTCTCCTTGATCGATGGAAAGACAGACTGCAACTCCCATGCATGGCCTTTGCCCTCATATTGTAGGGCTCACGTCGATTCTGTTCTCCTTTATTTCCTTAGTAGCAACATTTGCTCGCTCGACCTCGTCCTCCAACTTGTCGGGCTCCCTTAAGCGAATTTGAGCTCTGAAGTAGTCCAACTCTCCAATTGCCCCGATCATACCTCTGTATGATCAAGACCACCTCATGAGACTCATTGGTACTTGCACTCGGAATCCTCCTCGGTGGTACATAGCCCCCATATACTAATAACCGAGGTTTTCATCATATGCAAAATTTGATGTCTGCACGGAAGAACTGCCTCTATGATATCATAGCATTCACTCCCTGAATCCATAGCCCTTTTGTCGTGTTAATCACCGAAGTGGAGCTCCTAGTAGCTCATAATCATACCTTTATATGATCAAGTCCCATACGGGACTCCTCTCGTATGTGTTGTATTGCCTCGAACTATTCCACCTCGATCTACTGCACCATGTTGGCTTTTGGTGACATCTCTATTACATTTTGATCTTTGTAGGATGAACTTAGGACTACGATCTCTCCAATATGTGGCCTCTGCTGACACATCCTCCACTCCCTCTGATTGTGTTTGCTTTTTTGACAATCGACCTTTGTCCACTTGCTCTTGAGTGATACATAGACGAAGCACAACTCTAGAACAGTCTGTCGCTTGGTAGCTCTCGAAGTCCACCGACTTTGCTAAAATTGATGTACCATTGTCTGGATCCTGGGCCCTTGCCCCAACACAATCTTCGCTGCGTACAACTTCCTTTACGATAACTCAAATAACAACACTGTGGTATATTGTTCAAGAGTACCTATTTCCGTGTCCTCTTGTCCTGTGTCAAGACCTTATAACCCTAACTTCTCCATAAGTTGAGTCACCTTAGTCCCTCTATCAATTGCTTCTCTAAGATAAGGTGTATGTGGCTCGAAGCTCCCTTCAACTTTGGCACCATACAAGATGAGTCTGCTTTATCAGAACGAGGGACCCATAGAATGATATGATCTCGTTCTTCCCTCTGCAAGAGCTCATGTCCTTGACCTCTGTCCTAGAAAAGTTTCGTGCCTCTGCTCCATGTTTCGTCTTCTATGTCGACTCCCTTCATGCTACTTGGGTACTTCACCAAATTCCACCTAAGTTGCTTCATTCCTCGCTTTGTATTGAATTGATAGGGGCCCTCGTGCCCACCTTTTTATGGGTCAGCCCTTCGTTGAGTTCGATCTCCACATCGTCTCTAAGTGTGCCTTCGTTTGGTGTCGCCTAGGGTCGCTCCCTCACTTGATCTTACACTACGTCCAACAACACATTACCTCATGTGAGATCATGTGATGACCTCTCGTTGCTTGCTCAGTCCATTGAGCTTTATGGACCTGTCGTCTTGAGGTACACTTCTCAACATATGTGATCCGTTGCATATGAATCTCCCTTTGGAGAATCGAGACTATCCCTCCCGGATATCTGTCTCGTTAGAGCAACTTTCCTCTTCATATTCTTCCCTCTAGAAGTTTCGGAGACCACCGTCCCCATGGACTACTCTATCTTTTTGAACAAATTATGCATTGTTTCGCCACCGTTAATGCACTTGCTAGATTATGACTCTTTGCCAATATAGCCTCCATTGTGCCCCTTAAGACCTAGCAACATGCTGAACCTATTACACATGTCAGCCTCCTACGGACATATCCTTCTCATATTGAAGAGAAAGTTTCCATGCTTTATAGCGTTGAGTTTCGATCGCTTTGAGATGGCCACGAGCAGACCATTGTTCACATATAGGCCCTTGTATGACTATCGAATTATTCGAGTTAGCAATTTCCCTCACCTTGTGAGCTTTACACTACTCTTTCAGTTGCCGAGCAACTTATCCCTCTTTGCATGGTCTCATCCTTTGCCAAGTGCCCCGCTTGCCTTGAGCACCATCAAGTTTGGTTGCCAACATCGAGCTGTAGTGCTATCCCAGCCTTTGTGCGCTATGCATTCTTCCCAGTTCCCTTGTCCTTGTGATGCCTCTCACGTGAAGGCTTGGTCATTCATTTGAATGTCAATCTCGAATGCTCGCTCCTTTGAGTAACTCCTTTTCCTACATCCCTACGCTCATTTCCCTCAAATGGTCATGCGTGCTAGCTGGCCTCAGCGCAGTCCCACTAGGTCCCCATGTTTGTATGCCAAGAGTTTCTAAGTGTGCTTGTCCCGCTTTGATACCATATGTCACAGATTTAGCTAATTTTGTATAAGTCATGTGGTACTGTTGCGTGTTCGTCAACAAAATGTTAGCTTTCTCGAAATCTCTTCTGGTCATGTAAGAACTTACAAAAGAAAAGATGGGTTAGAGGAAGCATTTAACTCGAAATCCCAAAAGCAGACATTTTAGTAAACACTTGATAGATAATGCAAATTATAAACATAAACTTTATAACCTCTGAACGGTCACGCAACAAAGGGTCTAAGATAGTCTGCCATAGCCAAAAGTTCCCACAGGTGCCCACATGACATTGCTACGGGACAAGGCAACAAACCAACCTTAGACAATACCCCAAAGGACCATCCAGCCATGTGCCACCTAGGCAGCTTCAGGGTGTTGTACTGGCTGACATTCCGCACTACTTAACGGAACTAGAAAACCCCTAAAATGACTACTTGGATGGCTTGTTTTTGGACAGTTTTGCCTTTGTGCGATGACTGAATACAACCTGTGTTTACAAGACTAAAATGACCACAAAAGCCAACCAAAATGGGGTTGCTAAGTTTACCGCAAGCCCTTTACATGTTGTGCAAAGCATGAACAAAATTGAAAGATACAGACATACACAAACATTATATCGAACACCCCTTGTACAGATTTGCCCGTGACAATATGTATTTGCACTAATCGAAGTACTCAATTAAGAATAACTTAATAAATCACTTGTCACAAGAAACTACTGATAGCTAGTTACCTGTGGTAGAAGGTGAACACCATGCGTCTCTTTCATGCACTTGGGCTAGTAAAATTTGTGAAGTGCCCCCATGGCTATCAAGTCAGAACATTTCTCAAGGGCTTGTATGCCCTCAAGTAGTTTCCATCCTTTTGTTGCTTTTTCTTCTGTAGACAATTCCCAATATACTCTTTGAACAAGATATTTAAGATGGACCACCCTTTTGTATTTAAATATTTTAATCTTTTTTTGGTGCAACCTGGTCTTTAAGAAGCGTCAAATTAGTGGTCGGATGCCACAATTTACAGTATAAGTAAAGCTGATCTAAATCTAGTTTTTACATGGTTTTCCAACATTTTCCATTCTGAATTCAATGATGAGTGTGCAGTGTAACCAGTAATGGCTTGCAAACTCTGAATTCCATAACTGCTTTTTATATCAATGTTAGTTGCCAATTATTATTTCTTTGTTTCTTTATTTCTTTTTTGAAAACTTGCATCTTTGAATTAAAGAACTAACTAATTAATAGCCATTACAATTCTGTAGTTCGCTTTAAAGCAATAAACTTAGAACTTCATAATTTCTTCTTTTTAAGAATTTATTATTGTATCATAATTGTTTGTTTGCTCTAACAAATAATGTATATTGAAAAAAATTGGTTGTGCAAAGAATAAATAAAATTCTGCATTGTGGCTCCTCCACATCAGCCTCAGGTTATCAAAGGGTGTCAGCTTTTGCCTTTGGTTACCCTGGAAATTGAAGTTTATGAAATATTACTTACAGTTTTTTTTTTAATTTAAATGCAATATGATTTTAGACGTGAATTTCTCCCTCTTGGCAAACCTGTTCTGTGATTATACCCTCCTAGTTTGTTGTGGTTGCTACCTGTTTGGTGTAATCCTGCATTACTCGATCAAATATCTGTGGAGAAAATCATGGACACACCAGATGATGCTGATCTCAAGGAAGCTCGACAGCAGGAGTATGGTCTGCTTTCCTGGGCTCTGTTCCCAGAAAAAAATGCTTTAGGCAGACACTTATCTATCACTTGCTAGCTTCTCTGCTTATAGATTGGTTTGTTTTCTTCTTCCAGGACTTACTGCCCACATTCAGCAAGCTTGGATGAGGAAAATGTATGATGCAAACTTGATAAGATCTTGGGATTGACTCATGCATATGTCCAACAAGCCAAGCAGGGTGTCCATGCAAGAGAAGCAATTTCTGGGAAGCTGCAAAGAATGAGTGCATGAGCTTCCAATTCATCAGCATCAGTCTTCAGGCTAGTTTCGCCTTGACGTTCTCTTGGATTCTCGATGCTTGTTATGTCGCTCCATCTCCCCAGGGACTGAGAGCCAGTTGCTAGCAGAAGAGCTTATGCCACAAGTGATGGCAGTTGAGACACAATGCATCGAGTGAAATATAGTGTTGTATAGGATAGATATGTAGAACAAGAACTCTATGTTTTTGGTTTCTTGCAGCTGCCTTCTGTTGGGAGTGAATTCATTAAATGGCCCAATTATGACCCTCTTTGTTAAGATTTTTTTTTTTTTTAACACAGAAGAATTAGTGTAAGATATTTCAACTGGCACATTATAATCAGGACCTGACTGCTGTTTCAGTCTGCTTGAAATGAAATGGTTGGCTGAATTCAAGTGTGAATGAATAGTTCTGTTCTCATTAGTACTCTAGTGAAATATATTTTATGACTTTGTGGATGTTGATGGGAGGCCTCAATATAATTTTGGATAAATTGTGTGAAATTGATTACCAGAAGATGACTGTGCAGATGGCAATTTACTCTGCTCTGAATGCCTATAAAATATGTTGATCTGTTATCTCTGTTGAGACATCCAGTGTTGGTACACAACACTGCAATGTTGCACAGATGGTGCATCAGGTTGGATATGATTTAATATAATATTTTTTTTCTTTAAAAAATATGATCTTTTTTTTGTAATCCTGTTTTAAAGCCAATGATAACTACATAGAGCGCAACATATAATTAAATTATTATATAGTTTCATTGATAATAATTTTTTAAGTTTTTTAATAAATTTTTTAAAGCAAATGATAACTACAGAGAAAGCAAAATATAATTTAATTATTATATAGTTTCACTAATAATAACATATACTGTATAAGCAAAGCTTAACAAACTAATGATGGAGTTCAATCAAACCATGCTATAGCTATGTATGCAGTGAAAACCTAAATACACAGGCCAAGCATATTGAAGTTATTCTTGCCAATATATCTACCTGCTTCATGATATAACCACCTTATTCTAGAAAATATGCATAAAGTTAATGCAAGGCATTGCTGTTTCTTGAGCAGTATAACAGCTTGTTGTAGAAAGTAAGCAGTTTACACCAACTTTCCATTGATTACTTCAAAACATATTAACTTCTATGAAAAATTTATATGGTTGGAGATCATAGTGTTTCTTTCTTGATAGATGTATTTAAGAGGATTCTCAAGCAGTGTGGATAACTGGACAAGAACAGGATTGATCCACAATTCTGGAAATCCCAGGGATAATGCAAAAACATCTAACATACTGCAGCCTTTTTATCATTATTTTTTGGTTATATTGCATTCATAAGTTCTATGATAAGGCTTTTCAAGGTCTGCAAGATCCTGCAGATTTTATCACTTGCAGAAAAATATTGAGGCATAGGAAGACAAATTACAGTTCATGACAATATATTTTCTGGCCAATTTGGCATGCAAGGGTGCAAACAGGCACCACCAGAAAAGAAAGTGAGAAAAAGTCCACCAGTTGAATATATTTGCAAGCATGATATCAATATCTATATGATTGAATACCAAGAGAACATATAACCTTCACATCACCATATGAAAAAAAAGAAAGATGTTCACCAGAGGACACCTGTAGGGCATGCTGGATTTATACAGAAAAGAAACAAACAAAAGTTAACTTACAAAATGACAAAGCAATTACAACAGATGTCATGAGGGTATAGAACTTCACTTGTGCATGAGTGAGTTGTTCGATGCAGCTTCAAGGAACAAATCATGGTTTGCACGGAGGTTTATGCCATAGTCGTATAAGCATATTTAACATAAGGAAAATATTGATGATCATCTATCTCATGAGATGTCTGATTGAACCCTATCCCTTGAATCGAACAACAATGCATGATATGTCATCTTTACTATCTCTGTTGAAGGCTTCCAGTGTCAGCTGTTTAGCTGCTGCTAATGGATTCTTGATTTTTCTCGCAAGATTGACAGCTTCCTCATTGCTCATAACCTGGTAAAAATATACAATAATTCAAATTTCTCATGTGTTAAACTTAAATGATTAGAAGATGCATGGACTATGATAAACAACACCTTCCAAAGGCCATCACTTGCAAGAATGAGCAGCTCTGTTTCGGAGCTTGTATCTTCAACTTGTATATCAGGATCTGAACTTAGAAGTGTTTTGAGGTTCTTGTCTCCAAAAGCCCGTGAAACAGCTAGTTGACCGTTAACTCTTGCGACATCTCCTAGAAACCCATTAGTACTAAGCTCATTAAAAAGAAAGCTTTCAGGTTTATTAAACATGTTCCATAGAATTAAAGAGCATATATATATGTAGAGAAGTCAATGGGAAATTGCATTAAAGAATCATCTGCTCAGCATTTTAGTCTATGGGAAGACGACAAGCTTTTGAAATTTGTCAGCAAGACACCTGGCATGCTTCTCTGATGCATACAAGCAAGAATATACAGGTGTTTTAGAGATACATTGAAAGACTCATTAATATGTTTTCATTGTACAATAAGTACAGTGAGATATAAGCAAAATGGTCAGTGTTTCTTCTGGAAAGTAGTTTGGGATACCACTATAAAGTATTCATTGGTAAGTATACTCATGCTATCTTCATATCTGACCCTCTAGATCCATCTATTCTACACGAATCTGGAATCAAAGCAAGTACATTATCAAACTTCATATACGAATCAATTGTATGAATGTATCAACTCACTCCTTTTATTCAGTTAGTGTGAGAGTATTGGCAGTTCAAATTGTTTGTTTCACTTAAAAAAGTTCAAATTGCTTGTTATGTGGGTTGACCTCAACTATCCTTTAAAAACTGACAAATTATCTTTAGTTGTTAATGCCAATTACATATGTAACGAGATAATGTGCTTCACATGGGTTCAATTAGAATTTAATGTAAAGGAAGAAAGGGATCTAAGACTATTTAAAGACCATGATGTGGTGCAAATTTCTTTTCCAATAAGGGTTTAGGTCGACATATGCGTTCAATATTTTTTACAAAAAGAAAGGTAAAAGAAAAAAACACAAAGAGAAGCTCCATGGAAAGTGCATTTGTAGATCAGCAGTCCAGCTAGTCTCTGCAGGTGTAGCTGGTTTACTTATTTGAGTCCTAATATGAAGGCTTCCAATTATTGGGTTATTGGACTCTATATACAAAGACAGAAGATTGTTTTCTTTTAATGTACTTGCTGGTATAACTATGTATAGTTTTCTTGCTGAAAATAAGAAAACTATGAAGTTTGAGAATACTTGAGTAGGTGCAAAGGTAAAATGACTGATTCTGGAGACAATTGGAAATCATAAGGCAATACCTATTTTAGGGGTAATTTGAGTTCTGAAGGATGTACCATGTCCTAGTAGCATCAGTTAATTGATATAAACTTCTTAAAGAGGACTACGAGTTCCGGTGAAACAACACACACATGAGAACAGTGAAGTAGAGAGGATTGAAAAATGATAAAGCAGGATAAACTGGAAATGACTGGCAGGCTACTGGTAAAAACATTAATAAAGCAGGAAAAATTAAGCTCGGACAGAGACAGTGCTACTCTAGATTTTCTCTTTTTGCAAGAAAAATGAGGGTATTGACTGACAGGCTACTTAAACTTTACAATTCATTAAATATAACTGAAACAAGTCCTTGATGCAATACGTCTGACTAACCTGGCATGTTAGAAACAAAGCCACCCCTCGTTTCAATTCTTTCACGTTCAGAATCTGGTTCATGATCTGTTGACATTTGTATAATCTCTCCAGATTTTGCAAGAACAGCTCTTGAATCGCCAATATTAGCTATCCACAATTTGGTGCCGTTGACTAGGACTGCCGTAACAGCAGTGGATCCACCTCGCCCCAGATCACGACTCTGAGAAAGTATCTCATTATCAGTCTTTTCATAGGCCCTTCTGATGGCAATATCAGGATGTGTCCAAAACTCTTCCTGTTAAGAAATAACACATTTAACATTATTCCATGAGCATCTCAACATCCAAGAATTTTTTACTCCATCCATACAAATAAGCTGAGTATTACCTCATTTATAATATTGGCAAACAAATGCTTCTCCAAGTATGCCGGGACACTATCGCCTAAATGGCCGTCAAAGACAGCAAATAGACCAAGTTCCTGACCTCTGATATGGATGAATTTGGCTACATGATAATCCTCGATAGGATGAGCTGCTGCTCCTTTTAGTAGGCTAAACCCATAACTAACTCTGATGCGACCTTGCGAGTTTCTACCTTTACCGACAGTTAATGAGGGACCTGCAAGCTGCATAGCAAGACCAGTGTCATCAGGTAAATTCATGAGACAATCCTCCGACTATTTGTCATTCAAGAAATTGTTATTAAGAATAACTGCATTAACATTCGAACTGGCACACCAAATTGAGTTTCTTAATGAATACGATAAGTAGATGTTTAACTTTCTCAAAATGAATATAGCAAAGTAATTCAAGACCATAAATAAACAGGAAAGCAGAAGGGAAAACATTTTTGGTACTTGGCTCTAGAATCTATCGAGTAGCTATCCCAAATCGAGACATGAGATGGTTGATCAAAATTACAATTAGTTAACCAGAAGTAACATTCATAACACAGCTAGTAGGCCCTTGAGACATCAATTTTAACTAGTAAATTCTGGCACTGTTGGGTTCATATACACTAAGATCATCCTTCATACTTATTCTGATTCGAATAGTCCCTCCTAGAAATAATCAAATAAAAATTCAAGATCTAGCTTTTGAATTACACTCCTCCCTGAAGAATCCATGATTAGATAAAATTGAATGAGAAGTATTGCAATGGAGTAAGAAGGCAAAAGCAGGTAAATTTCTCCCCTCCATTCAACCACGACAATCTGTGCAACCAAAGCTTCGAACAACTGCTCTGTAAGTAGAAGAGGATTTCGAACAACTGCTCCATAAGTAGAAGAGGATTTTCTTGTTCTCCACGTAAAGATCAGTGAAACCATTTGCTCGAACGAAAAAAGAAGAGAAACCAAAGCCAAGAACTAAATAATAGGAAGAGCAGCAAACGAACAATATCAACAGAAGAAGGTAAAAAACTGTCAGATGCCCAATCAGAATAAACTTACTCAATGCGTTCAAAGCAGCAAAAGAATGATTACGTGGATAAATGAGAGAAGGCAGGCTCAGATGTGAGAATATCTTACCCATGAACAGCAGGATCTTAAAAAGCGCATCTTATCCATCAAATTCCGCACAGCTCGATGGCGACTCTTAATTTCTCAACACAAACCGAAATCGCAGAACCTCAACTTTTCCACGAATCCGACGCCAAGTCGGAAAGTTCCTCACTAAATTCCCAATCTCCGCTACCTTCGACGCCAAGATACGATTTTTAACGAAGCTCGATGCTCAAAATCTTGACTTTAGACCCAGAGGATCAAGTCGCACCAAAAAAAACTTCTTCGGAAAGAAAGCTGGCTTACCGAATCGATCGACTCATCTGTTCCAGCAGCGAAGCACCAAGGAAAGGGGGGAGAGATCCGAGGAGGAGCAACGAGGCAGTGGTTGTTTCCGCTGAAGAAGTCGGAAGTCTGGGGGATTGCGAGTCGGAAACAAGGCGAGGTGGGCGCGTCTCCTCGGAAGAGTCCGCGTAGTCGAGGGAGTCGTCAGCATCGGGCCGAGAAAGTAAAGCCGATCAATAAATTAAGGAAAGTGAATGAATCAGCACGCAAAAGCTTGGCCACAACACCAACGCGAGGCTGAATTCGTCTCCCGTGGACTTCACCGTCCCTTTCAAGAACAGATTAATTTAGACCAATATTTATATTTATATTTATAATTAGTAAAAAAATTAATACATCATCATCGATCAACACTCGATGCATAGATTTCGATTCGTAACTATTGGACACATCACGTCAGCTTTCGAAGGTTATCAATGATAAATGTTTATTTAAAGAAAACTTGACTGATACTGTTCATTGATCTAAAGAGGTGAGAAAACTTGACTTTTTTGAGCTGATGATCAATTAAAAATAATATATCCAAGAATAAAGTCCTAAAAAAATCTGGGAATTGGATAAATTCCATTTCCAAAATTGACTCTCTCTCCCTTGAATCATATTTGATCCATGCAGAGCAAAATTGAACTGAGGTAGCTACTTTGCCTGAAGGGAGCATTAAGACTTGTTGCAGTTGTTTCATAGAAACAAAAAGGATGAATGTTGATGGATTCAATTCACCTCTGTTTGTAGTACTCGAACCAGAGAGAAGACCAGCAGTTTCAAGGAAGACAAATTTGGTATTGCTTTGGGTTGGAGATCAAAACCAGGCTAAGAAAAAGCACATGTAATGTTAAGTAGATTTGGTGCCCTGTAAGAGCTATTGGAGGACAGACATCTCAAAGAAGAAGACTTGCTGTTGGAGTTCATATTGGGGAGGAAGACTTTGACTTCAGAACTTATTGATGTTGAAGTGAGCAATCATGTCACTATGATTGATGGGATATGTGGAAGAGTTATGCCGGAAAAAAAGAAGAGTTATGGTTTAGACAGCTTACAAAGAACATTAAAACTAATATTCTGATTAAAGACCAAAAATGTCATTAATGGCTAGAATATAATATGACCAATATTTTAGGTAATAAAATTTATATTTGATAAGTAATCATTTAAGAAAATGATTATATATTTTCAAATCTAATTAAAAAAAAATTCTCATCTCTTTCAGTTAATAATTCTGTAACATTTCGATCAACTCTTTTAAGTTTTATGCATTTAAGCAATCTCAAAGTTAGTCTCATTCTTATCATTACTAAACATATGCAACAAAAGTCTTAATTATCTTGTAGTCAGTCTTCTCAGCCTTAGGAAACACATTGTCTCCTTTGACCAGGAAGTCATCCAAGGAAATAGATTTCAAACTGACTTGGTCAATGAGATACCACCACCACCAGATAGATATATTTTCAGATATCAGCATGACAAATTTTTAATTTGGCAACTTATGTTTTCTTGAGACATCACTTAGAGCTCTTGTTATTATAATCCTATTGTCCTTTATGTTTTTTCTTTTGTTATTTTCCCTTCTTTTTTTTTATGTATGTAACTTGGTTGAGAACATAAATAATAACCATGGTAAATAGAAAGTTGTAAGTTTTTATACAGTGTTGATTAATATTTATGCAATGTCATTCTCTTTGGCTCAATTTTACTTATATGTCTGGTTTCATTTGACTCTGCATTTTTCATTGTTCTTGAAAGTATTGCAGTATATGCTGATGAGATTGTCATCCCTTCACTCCAAAAAAAATGGAACTCAATTAATAAAAATATGCAACTCCTGCAGTATGGGATTAACAAATATTCTATCAACAATCTCAGTGTGTAGTACTTAACTGCTGAAGACAACCATGGTTTCTCCAAACAAAGAATGGCTCCCTTTGCAGAATGACATATTGTTCTTTTCAACTCTGTCTGTAGCAAGTCAATCTTTGGTGGTGTGAGCCCAGCAATGCATTTGATTCCTTTCCACCTCTGATCATTGTCACCCTCAATCAGTAGTTCAACTTCTCATGGCAGTACACCATGCTTCAACTTTGATGCTCCATTCTTTGTCTCTTGAAGTGATTCTGGCAAACTTCTTTCCTTGCTTTATATTATTGAGCTTTTGATAACACTTGAGATTTAAGTTGGATTACCAATTCCCTCAAAAGTTTAAACCGATAGGAAAGGACCCAACTTGTTCATAAACTCTAACAAAAATCACATCTTCTTAACTTGTTTTTACTGAATAATATGTCTGTCTAACATGTTAACCTTGTTCTGTCCTTCATGAACAAATTACTTTGCCTACCCTGACATCCCAATATGAGGCATGACTTCCAATTTATTTATTCTTCGATCCACTGTTCTGGATCAGTGCTGTACTATAAACCTTATGAGGTGAAAGGTCATTACCTGAAAGCAGCATTTAAGGTTGCAGGTTAATTGAATGGGTCTCACTTAATCCAAATTTACTCCACCAGATTTCTATATATTTGGCTGATCAAAGAAAATAGGAATAAACCAAGTTAATATAGTTAAATTCAGCCAATAACCATGAGTTTGAGTCAGATGTGAAGACAGTTTCCTTTGCACTTCAAGAAGGAAAGTTTAGATGAAGCCCATGCAAACAGGCCATTAAGATGGATCAATATGTCTGTGATCCTATCTTTAGGATTTGAATCCAGTAATAATCACCCAATTAGGCCTGTGATCAACCCCCATCATGTTTATCAACCCCATCTTTTTGCTCTGGTAGTTCATTTATGCAAATGGCAATAGAAGTTAGATCAATTTGAAGAACTAATTTCTCAGCAGTGGATATATATAGTATTATGCTTCATGCCTGTTGTCATCAGAATGGATATTTAGTCATTTCTATTCCAAAAATGAAAACCTTGAGATATACATACTGATTTCTGATTTTTTTATCCATATGATGCCATGGCATGTTTGCTCTTTTTTGTTCTTTCTGATTACAATCAAAATCTGGCCAGGCTCATCACAACACTACAAGTGAACTGCCACAGCTGCAATTATTCAGCAAGCAACCACATTCCCTTGTAGTTCATGCGGTGCAATATAGGCCAAAAAGCCTGTCCCACTTATCTGAATGGTCACATCATCTCATTTATCCAATTACTGAATCCTTCATAACATTGGATAAGAGCTGCACACTGCAAAAAGAACAACAAAAAAAAAAAGGAACAAGAAGAAGAAGAAGAAGAAATCATGCATACATCAGAGCATGGAGTTTCAGGTTTAGATAGGCACTTCTCTGTACCTTCATCAGACCATGGTAGAATAACAACCCATATGTAATTGTATTAAGATTACTATATGCATAAGTTCCCTTCTCTTATGGAATATGGATCCTAAGAGAGGTATGCATTAACAAAGTCAAAGCTCTTAATTGAACAATAATTATGTATGACAAGCGACAACTCATTGATGGATATCAATTAGTTAACATAGGCCAAGCAAATTAAAGATCAATGTCTGGTGAGGAGGGCACAGGTAGAGCAGCATATTAAAGAGTTGAGATCAGAATAAATGTCTAATAGGATTGAACCTGAGACCAACTTGGAAATGATATTTATGTCATAGTACATTTCTGTCAGCATGCTTTCCACTCTTTTTATCTTCCTCTCTAGGCATGTCCATCTCTATCTGAAGTAAACAAAACTTTATTGATGGTGTTTTAGCCACTTCAACAATTTTCAGCTTCCATTATATTGCAATTTTAAGAAGAGTGTTATATTTTTTGTAGATTGTTAACAGTAGCATGACAGAAAACCATCATCTTAATGGTTTTCATTAAATGGCCAGATCATATATTTTCTGTATAAATTCAAAATTAGAAGTATTTTAATACATATATATGAGATATTAATCGATAATTTAAACCTCACAGATCAGCTGTGCTCTTCTTTATTAAAGATGGGACAAACCTCACAGATCAGCTGTGCTCTTCTTTTATCATTTTCAGACATCAGTCAAAGTGTCATTGTTTCAATAAGGTCATAAGCAATGGTAGTTGGGTCTAAAAATAGTGCTACTTTCTACTCCTGAACAAAACCAAGAGATTAGGTAGCTTGAAATCTTGAACACTGCACAAGTATCTAAAGACAAGCAGTGCAGCTGTCCAAAAGATAGGAATTCCGACTGAGTTGGGCATAACAGTTGGGAAAATAGAGCAAGTGGAGAGTTGTTTATCCACAAATTTTGTATGGTTTTACAAGTCATAGATTTGTCTTCCTTCCCAAGAATCACATTATATTCATATTATCTTTTATATAATAAGCTGGATTCATTATTGAGAATTATGGATTTAGATCATTCAGAGGCTTGCTGCATTCTTTGTTTCTCCCATCTCGTTGAGTTCTTAGTGGACAGAAATGTTCAGAAGAGATATTAAGAGATTAATCAAAACTGAAACTTTTCTTCCTATCTAAATAAACTCCATTAGTTTGGCTTCTCATTTGGTACTTTTTATTTTATAGCCTGATTATTATAATACTATTGCCACACTGTTAATAATGTTCATATCACCCATTCTCATGTCATGGCCAGTGACACAATTTTAGTCATAACCACTAGCTTCGAAGTTTCAGAATGCTACTTTGACTGAAATCGTAAAGATGTGATGAAAATTGGATTAGATTTGCAGGGGGATATCATACTTGGTTGATGCTACACAAGTTCTTAGATTACAAAGTTGTGTTCACTGTTTCTCTTCCTTTAACAGTGCATGTCCAGCCACCACTTCTGATTCCAACTTGTACTTAGCTACCCCATCACATAGAAAATTGGCATGACAGTATCTATCTGTCAACTCATGTTTCTGGTCAGATTTTAAATATAAGTTGAAATCTCTTCTGTCAGAACGGCTCATGATCCATATACTTACTATTTTCTTGCACATGAGTCCTTCATCCTGTGCTGTCTTCATGTTAAGTTCATGGAAGGAAAAGTACTCAATTAAAATTTTGTAACATTTCCTTACAATATATCACTAACTTTCATTGCATAATTCTCCTTATAAAACTTAGTCTTCTCTTTGTTATTTCTTGTCTTCTCTCTATCAGAAACTACAGCTGTATGAGATATAACTTGTCTGCCAGTCAGAATATGTTGTGTTCACAGACGGAGAGACGGGTTCTGAAATCCAAGTCTCCAAGTAACCAGTAGTTCAGTTCAGGTTAATTAGGAAACACTATTGGTCATGTCATTAAATGGGTGACAGACACAATGAAGGGTGGTCCATCAGACAAGGAACCTTTCTTCAGGAAGCTACACTTCCCTGAAACCTGACACATTAGCTCCGTTGAAGGTAAGCGGACAAGTTTTTCTCCTATTAACTTGTTCTTGAAACCAAATGATGCAAGTTGAGGAGAAGAAAAGAAGCATGCATAAGGAAAGGAAAGGAGAGAGAGAGAGAGAGAGAGGAAATATGACAAGAAGATAACCCATTTCCCTTGTCCTCTTGCTTGGACTCTTTGCAACAGTGATGGCACCACCATTTTAGTTGATCTTCCAAGGTTTCTCTACCCAAACAAGCTGTGGTGGAAACTTATCGTCAGATGAATGTAGGGAGACAAAATACAGAGAGAGGAGAGTGAGTTGTAGTTTATGTACGATTAAGAGGTTGAGTAACTCATCATGAGGTGTTGATGGCTGCTGTGGCATTAGCTTGTGAAGCTGGGAAAAGTGTGTCAGCAATGAGCAATGTCATGAAAGGGGGAGGAGGTGGTGGGGATTTTGGGTGTTGGCTACACCAACTCCATTTGCTCACCATGGATCATTGTCAATAAGAGAGTGACTTCCACTGTCCACCTCATTTGGATACTTGGAATATAATATATACAGCTACAAATACTTCCATTTCCTTTGTGGAGCTTCACTTGAAGTTCTACTTACAACATATACATTCAAAACCAGTTCAACTTCAATGTGCACATCACACTAAGTAGTCCTACAGTAATATAATGATTTCAATTTTTTTTTATCTAATATTTTTTTAATGCCTATAACATCAATTAACCGCTTACCAAAAAAGCGAAGAATTGTCTACATTATTTGATAATTTTTTGATGTACTAGATTCATTTATTAGAGATCGAAGACTCAAAAACCTTATCATACAAAACATTAGTCTATTAGTGTTCTCGAGCCATTTAATAAAAGTTGACAATTCGAAATCGATCATTTTTATAATGATATGTTAGACTCATTTATCAAAAATTAAATATTTTAATATTTTAAAATTTTGATACATAGAATATTGGTTTGGTCGTAACAGATCAAACTCATTTATTAATTATCGAGAGTTTAAAATCTCATCTGATAAATCACTTGTATGATATTAATGTAATAATGATACACTAGATATTATTAGATTGAAGTTCAAAATCTCATCGATAAATTTTAAGATTCTAACCACTCTAGCTATCGAGTGAAACCTAGCAACATCTTCATATTGAATTTCATCTCTCTATTTTTTTTTTACTTATATTTTGTATAAAAAATAATACATACTAAGAATCAGAAATTGGTTCTGAAACCAGTTCCTTGTAATTCCATTAGACTGCAAGATGGTCAATAGATATTGCAAGAAAATATTTGCAGTATAACAACAATGCCCATGTACTTACTATAAAGACCATGACTTATTATACTGCTGCAAGTGTTACCTGTCCTTTGACTTCTATACCCAGTTAGAACAGTAGGTTAGGGTAGATCAGTTTGGTGAGTTCCCAGTGCATGAACTACTGTGTCAATGCACATCTGCTACTACAATCAATTAAATTATTTTATTTGTCAGGTTAATATTTAGATAATTAATTTATAAGATAGTCCAAGAAATGCATTCACTTCTATAATAATATTCCAAGAAATGAATAAGAAACTAATGACAAGCGAAATAAAAAAAGGGTTTAATGTAAACAAAACTGTAGTACTAACAAAGGACATTAAGGAAGGGGGAGGGTGGAAGGTGACAAGAAGTCATTTGCTTTCTGTTATGTTGCGTGCATGGAGAAGATTTGCTTTCTGTTATTTAGATAATTAATTTATAAGATATTCCAAGAAATGCATTCACTTCTATAATAATATTCCAAAAAATGCATAAGATTTGCTTTCTGTTATTTAGATAATTAATGTAAACAAAACTATAGTATTAACAAAGAACATTAAGCAAGGGGGAGGGTAGAAAGTGACAAGTGACAAGTGATATAAGATAAGATTTACTTATACGAGAAAATCTTTTTCTTATCTTCTATTATTTTTTTTGCTATAGCCTTCTTCTCTATTGTAGCATCGTTGCAGTTTCCTCCTCTACTGTACCTCTACTGTACCTCTATTGCAGTTGTAGCATCGTTGCAGCTTCCTCCTCTACTGTACCTCTATTGCAGCTTTCTTCTCTCTCCTCTACTGTAGCTTCCTCCTCTGCTATAGTATCGTTGCAATATCGTTGCAACTTTCTTCTCTACTGCAGCTTATTCCACTACTGCAGCTTATTCCTTTACTGCAGCTTATTCCTCTACTATAGTATTGCTATAGCTTTTTTTATTACTGCAGCTTTCTCCTCTACTACAGCTGTCGCAATCGCAATAGTAGCAACAACAACAGCAGTAGCGTGCTCTTGCCCTGCTCACAAAGTCTCTAGCTCGTAAATCATTCTTTGCGTCGATCCAAGATTGGTATCCTTGACAGGAGCGCGGCATGATTAAATCATTTTTTGTGTCGATCCAAGATTGGTATCCTTAATAGGAGCGGGGCATGATAGAAGATAAGATTTTCTCTATGAGAAAATCTCTCTACTCAGGGAAATCCTCTATTCTGTTAAGGATTTAATCCTCTCTCCTAAGTTGTATAAATAAGAGAGAGATATATTAATATATTCAAGCTAAAGTTATTTTATTTCTTCTTCAATAAAAATTTTTATCTTCTATTATTTTTATCAACAAGAAGTCATTTGCTTTCTGTTATGTTGGGTGCATGCAGAAGATTTGCTTTCTGTTATTTAGATAATTAATTTATAAGATATTCCAAGAAATGCATTCACTTCTATGATAATATTCCAAGAAATGCATAAGATTTGCTTTCTGTTATATTGCGTGCAGGGAGAAGATTTTCTTTCTGTTATTTAGATAATTAATTTATAAGATATTCCAAGAAATGCATTCACTTCTATAATAATATTCCCAGAAATGCATAAGAAACTAATGACAAGCGAAACAAAAAGAGGGTTTAATGTAAACAAAACTATAGTACTAACAAAGGACATTAAGGAAGGGGGAGGGTGGAAGGTGACAAGAAGTCATTTGCTTTCTGTTATGTTGCGTGCATGGAGAAGATTTGTGACCTCACACTGAGATAGGTTTAGTATTCATGCAAGTATCCTGTGTTGCTCACTTTAAAGACCAAAGCCTTGATGTACAATGATGCATTTGATCTCTCTCATAATTCATGGCAGAATATCCATATTGCCTATGGTTGTGTGTACATCTCACATCATTCTTACTCTTATTGTTCATCTTTTAGGTATTGTGGTGAATGGTGGCTTCCCTAGTATTTAGGCTCTTGAATCAATCAAAAAGAAAATGAGAAATAATAGATAAATACAGATCATTGCTATGAACATTACTTGGATACATCTTATTGCTATCTCTGTGGCTTAGGTTATTAGTTCTAGTCATGAAAATAATTTCTCTCATTTCAAAGGTCAAATCACAAGCATTAATCTTCAAGTCCTATATCGATGAGACCATCAATCGTGTAGGCCGTTGTATGACTCCCTCATCTCCATCAAATTATTTATGTATGGTATTGGCATGCAAGTTCTATACATACACTTCCTAGAAAGGTCAGGAAATGTCCTTTGAAATATATCCATCCAATTTTCTCTTTTAATATCAAGCATTTCTTGATTTGGTCAAATCAAAATTTTTTGTTATTACTATTTTTATGAGACAAGCAGATAATTAAGATTAAGAAGATAATCAACTTTTCTGACTAAGATCCCATCTTTTATTAAGATATCTGTAGTGCATCCAATGCCAGCGACAGTTCTCCAAAGTTCACATTGTCATGGGAAACAGAGCCAAAGAAGTGTATAAATAAGCAAGCCATCTGTTGATGGAAGTGGAGGAACCACCCAAGGGAGCAGTCACAGTCCCCACTGCCCAACCCTGCTTCCTTCTTTCTCCTCGGATTCCGATGGGGAGATCTCCCTGCCATGATGAGATTAATGGCCTTAAGAAGGGCCCTTGGACTCCTGAGGAAGACCAGATACTGGTCGAGTACATCCAGACCCATGGCCACGGCAGCTGGAGAGCTCTTCCAAAACTTGCTGGTTCCTCTCTCTCTCTCTCTCTCACATATCACTCATACATACAGTACAGAGTTGAAGTTTGGTGCTCTTTGATCTCTTGTTGTAGGGCTGAACAGATGTGGCAAGAGCTGTAGGCTGAGATGGACTAACTACTTGAGGCCAGACATCAAGAGAGGCAAGTTCTCCCAAGAGGAAGAGCAAACCATTCTCAACCTGCACTCCATCCTGGGCAACAAGTACTTCTATACCTGTTCTTGATCTCCTTTAGGCACTTGCTACGATCAATCTGAACTTGATCTGAATGCAGCGAATTAACCTTCTGATCTCCACCCAGGTGGTCTGCGATCGCGACGCACCTCCCCGGGCGAACGGACAATGAAATCAAGAACTTCTGGAACACCCACCTGAAGAAGAAGCTCATCCAGATGGGGTTTGATCCCATGACTCACCGCCCCAGTACCGACTTCTTCGCCGCCCTCCCCCAGCTCATCGCCCTCGCCAATCTCATCGACGGCCGCCCGTGGGACGACCACACCGCGCGGCTGCTGGCGCAGGCGGAGGCGACGGAGGCTGCAGCGAAGTTACAGTGCTTTCAGCACCTGCTGCAGTCTGCAAGCGCCATGCCAAATATCTCCACAGCTGACTTGGCGAACATGAGCCTCCCTTCGATCCCTTCTCCTACTCCTCCTCAGTGTCTGACCAATGACCATGACCATGACCAGATGAACCAGCTGCCATCCATCTTCTTTGAGCCATCCGTCAGCAATGAGACAGGCCAGTGTTCCACCATGACCGGGTTCAGCCAGGGAGAGGACAGCAGTCTCCCTCCTCTCGCTGATGTCTCTGCTGCTAACCAGGGGGATGCTTGTAGCATTTCGAGCTGCAATGGCGATGAGACTCCTTACATCTGGCCCGAGTTCTTCCTCGATGACCAGTTCATGACAGGATTTGCCTAGACCTTTCGAGTGGATATATACCTTCTTGCATGATTCTATCACACTTGTAAATGTGCACATGTAGTCTCAGTCTTTGTTTGTGTATACTTCACTGGAAACTTTTGCTTCTTTCGCTCATTTCTCCATGGATGCATGGTGCCATCTTTTTCTGCGTTGCTGCTACTGGAACACCATCATCCATAAAACTATAAGATGACATATCTATTTCAAGGTCTTAATATATATACATATATATATTTATATATCTATTAGTAAAATGACATCTAACCGATCAATCTTGGTGTATAACTGGATGGCATTTCCATAGGTCAAAGGTGACATGTCAAAGAAATGGTAAGGAAACAATCGAGGACATCAAAGACATTGCATTGCAATATTAATTATTGCAGTCAAGCAACAGTAGAAAATTTAATCGCATTTCACTTCTTTTGAGGCAGAATAATTCTATAATACTTGCAAGATGAAAAGAATGATCCAAGTTTTCTTACTAGCAGGTGGAATCGATGCCTTTTCCTACAAGGGATTGACAACTAGGACTCACCACGATTGACTCCCATCTACAAGTAAGGTTTTGGATGAAAGCCCTAACTAGGCTTCCTGTGAAAAGCTTTCACTAACTTATGTGGACTAGGGTTGTCAAGGATATTAGTGTACACTAACAATGGATATAGTGGACTACCTAATCACTGCCCATATGTTGGAGACCACAGCAAGTCTCCTATGTCACTTGTAAGAAAATGAATCATAAGACCATACGCCACCTATGAGAAGCAGCCAAACTTGACAAAGTTGGTCACTGTAAGAAGGACTCATGGCCAGCAGCAGCATAATGGCACCATCAGAAAGTGACATTCTCATCTTTTATACAAAATATTAACATCATGTCAGTTTTGGCATTGTCCAATCCAATCACAGTTCGAGTGTCGATGGGATTACCAATCAACGGTAGGGCATGAAAGATCCCAACATTTTCCCAGTCACATAGATCATTCACATACAAGTAAGTACACCGATAGAATTTTGGTGTCCAAATGAACTTTGTGCTATGTTTCTTATATTTGCTTCTCTAAATTATGTTCTACATTTTGGTTCCCCACACTGTCATCTTATGTTTCCTTCAAAATCTTCTGGGGATAACAATTACATAAGTAGATAAACCTCCAACCTAAGTTCGATTGGGTCACTAACAATACATCTTCTTGTCTTAGGTAGCTTTGGAAGAATCTTGACTTCATGCTACAGGGTTTTAGGTAGAGAAATGATCATAGAGAGCAGGCCATCTGACTGCTTACTAGTTCTTGTTGACTAAGATAAGGCACGAAATGATGCAGTTGTCACAAGGACGTGGGGTCTCAAAAGACTAATCTCCAAAATAAACCATCATCTACCAAGCTGGTGTAACTATTAGTCAACAAACAACTCTTAATCATTTCTGAGCAGATTAGTGACTCAATTGACAATTTAGGTTCCTACTTTCATTCATGGCAGACTTCCTTCTAAGTTGCTAAATAAATGCCAAAACTACAATCGTTCGTGTACTAAATTCAAAACATCAAAAGAACTTCATTCCGTGGATTTCTAAGTGGATGTTTTAAATCCCTACACAATTTAGATTCATCGACGATCACATGTTGTCAAAAAATATCTCACAGCATAAGCTGATAACATATGGCTCGTTGTAATTGGAAATTCTAAACATTGTGGAAGATTAATGTTTTCTTCGATTGAAGTGGCATTGAAATCATGGTCACAAAATCTTTAATATGATAAGAGAAACCCACGAATGCTTCAATACTAATTTGGAGACTTTGATAAGATTAACAAAACATATCGTCTTGATTTCAAGTGAAGTATTTTTAGCGTGTTGGCAATTACACACGCATTTTCTCCATATTTGTCCTATTTAATTCAAAAAATTTATATATATAATATTTCTATAAATCTTAATTCGCCAATGACTCCATGGCCCAATGGATAAGGCGCTGGTCTACGAAACCAGAGATTCTGGGTTCGATCCCCAGTGGAGTCGTTTCTCGCATCATTTTTGTTCTCCTTTTTTTTTTTTTCTTTGTTCTTCTCCTCTTACAACCACTTTGAGACACAGCTTTTCCCACATTTTTGTCTTTCCATTACCAGTATTTGATTTGTCATTATTAAAATTATCTATGTTGGATGTGTTGATATAATATATTTGCTCTTTGTCATTTACAACAGCTTTATCATCTTCCCATTATCTTTATTGGATTTTTGAGATTTCATGGTGTTTGAACATAGTTTTTCTTTTCAGATATTACCAAGCATTTTCAAATAAAAAGGTAATACAAGAATCTCACATGTACGGGCTAATTACAATTTCAATTGCCATAAAGGAATTGAGAGATTGAGTAGTCTCTGTCTCTCAGAGCACAAAAGACATGTCAATGTACATCAATCTAATTGGAATGAGGAAAATGTATGCCATGAATGTGTATGTGAATTCCCAACTATAATTGCAAATTAAGCTTGCAAATCACATCAAGGTTCCAGGTTTCGAAAGCTTTTCATATGAACAAGATACAGTAACTAGATTTAATTTTCTTTTTCTTCTTTTGTAGATCACCTTCTCCTAATATAACCACAAAACTTTGCAAATGACTTTTAACTTACAAGACATCCACATTGTTTCTTACAAGAATCGTGGAATGAAAATGACCAGCCAATTTCCTCCAGATGGCTAACTTGTCAGGATATGAGGTCCTTGAAGAGTACATTTTGATCCCAGAAGAAATATGGATGGAGCACCATTTTGTGTGGTTATTTCTTTTACTGAAACCAGTGTATGATATGATACAACTGACTAAATTTAGATGCTCCTTTAATTTGATGTCTCCACTTTATGTGAGAGAAGTGTCCTCTCATCATTGTCATCGATCTCAAAATCTTCATTTCCATAAACAATATCAATCTCACTTCTCGGGTTCCCATTCAATTCCATCTCAGAAACTTGAATTCCTGAAGACTCTGGCAACACTTCACCAACATTATCCATCTCTATCTGCTGCAGTTCTGATGCTATCAATGAATCCATCCGTGCCCTCTCTCTGTCTCTTGGATAGGTACAATACAAGAAGGAATAGATGAAGCAACAGAGTGACATGGGAAATGCTATTGCAGTGTAGAGTGCCTTGGCTAGAGATGCAGCATTTTCTCTGTCTGTTTCAACACTGCTACTTTCATTTGGTCCATAAGAAACTGGCTTATATCCATAAACATGCTCAGCTAAAATGCCAACAACAGGAGGAGCAAACGATGATAGCACCGACTCAAAAGATCTGTCCAATGCATATATGCTTGTTCTTGATTTCTCAGCTACAATCTCTGCAAATATAGGGCTGCATGGAATATGAAGCAAAAAAATCAAACAATAAATAAAAGAGAACAATTAACTGTAATGAGGAAGTTTGTTTCCATTTAATGCCATCATGTGAAATAGTAGTATTCAATAAGAAGTTTATCGATGTCGAATCTTAATTGCCAATACATCATAATTCATTCAGTGTGATTCCTACTTAGTAACGGCAACTGATTTTGATGAAAATAGCAACAATTAGCATCTTGAACATTGAGGATGGTTCTTGTTCTTGGTTTCTCAGAACAATCTCTGAAAATATAGGGCTGCATGGAAAAATAAAGCAAAAACATCAAACAATAAACTGTCATGAGGAAGTTTATCTCAATTTAGTGCCATCATGGGAAATAATAGTATTCAATAAGAAGTTTGTCGATGTGGAATTTTTTGTTTTCTTTTTGTTTTTGGCAAAAGGGTAAGAATGGTATTGATTCAATATGCAATCTCATTTGCCAATATATCATAATTAATTCAGTGTGATTCCTTGCTAGTAATGGAAACAAAATCTTAATGAAAAATTGTAGATAGCAACAATTAACATCTTCAACATTGAGAAACACGGTGGTTTCTGTTCTTGATTTCTCAAGCACAATCCCTGCAAATATAGGGCTGCATGGAAAGTAAAGCAGAAACATCAAACAATACCTACAAGAAAACAATTAACTGTAATGAGGAAGTTTATTTCCATTTAATGCCATCATGGGAAATATTAGTATTCAATGAGTAGTATCAATGTTGAATCTTAATTGCCAATATATCATAATTCGCTCAGTATGATTCCTTGCTAGTAATGGAAGCAAGATTTTAATGAAGCTAGTAACAATAAACATCTTCAACATTGAGAAGCACAGAATAGTTTGAATCTTATGTGTAGGCATCTTGCTTTAGATCATACTGATAGTATATTAGAAGGCCACAGATTAGTAGGATAAAGACCTTATCGTTAATACAAGCATCAAAGAGGCAGTTCCATAGATAACAAGGAATCAGAGTGTTGACATACTTGTTTGTAGCCGGAGCATTCCAGGAGATGCTTAAGCCCATGATGAACAAGACAATGCCATGTGCAAGTCCCATGGAGGGATCATCTGGTAAGACCAGCATCAACAATGCTGCAAGTGGGATTGCAGAGCCAGAACTTATCTGAGACAAAATGATCCTTCCAGTATCAGGGAAACGTTTGGCAAGGAAATCTCCCATCTTTCCTCCCAACAGTCCTCCGAGAGAGCTTGCAACGATGAACATACTCATTAGGATCCCAGTTCCTTTGTGAGAGAAACCGATGAGCTCCAGCCACATCGGCGCAAAGGATAACGCAGACCATGGAAATGAACCAGTGACGCCCTGAGCCACAATTATCTGAAACGAGGGGATTCTCAAGACAGCCTTTGCTTCATCAAGCATAAACTTCGCCTCTTCCCATGCGGACTTCCGCGGAACAAGCTCGTTGGTCGATCTGGCATCATTGGAGAAATGAGGATCCACCGCAAAGAGTCGGATGAGTACTCCGACCACCACGCTTATCATACCAACCACATGGAAAGCAACTCTCCAACCGGCAATTCCCATGAATGTAGTGGAAGCTAATAGTAGGGAGAAGAAGCCACCAATGATGGAACCAAAGTTGCCAGTCAATTGTAGCCATCCGAAAGCTGTGCCTCGCGTGCTATCGTCGGTGGAGTCGGCAACAAGGGACTGGATAGCAGGTGTCACCAAGGCGAGTCCGACTCCATTCAGAGCTCTTGAGATTGCTACCTGAACAATAGAAACACGCTGCAGCCGCTAATAGATGAAATAGAGATCAAGATCAAATCTTTAGGCGGGGTTACCTGGAGGAAGGTGTTGGAGAGGGCGACGAGGAAGGTCGCCGCGGCCCAGAGGAAGGCACCGAGGGCGATGACGTGGGTGCGGTTGTGGCGGGTTGCCAGGTAGGCGGCGAGGGGGTAGCAGGCGGACTGGACGATGGAGCGGAAGAGGGTGAGGGAACCGAGCCCCGTGGGCGAGGCGTGGAGGGCTGCCCCCACCTCATGGTAGACCGCAGGGAGGAGCGCCTCGTCGGCGCGCTCCATGATTGCCGCCAGGTTCACCAGCACCAGCGTCCGCCGCTCCGCCACCGCCGGCCCCATATCTCCTCCGCCGTGGGATCGGATCTTGCAGCGAAGGAATAAAGGAATTAGGGACCTGCTTAGTGGAATCATTCTCATTCCTCGTTAATTCGATAGCAGTTATCGGATTCTATTTTGGATCCGCTAAAACTTCGTTGACCCCCGGGTTGACTTATTGTGGTCACTAACACAGAAGAAGGACAGATCAAAGGCTGGCGGCAACCATCCGATTTCGTGTGTTTTCTCTCCACCTGTCCAATGGCCATGCACGTGCCGCACTGCCTGCGTTCGGCGCCACCATGCCGACTTCCACGCGCGCATAATAAGCGTGACAGAACACTCGCCTTTCTCGGTGGTGGGAAAGAAGGGATGTTGAGGAGGAGGAGGGTATTGATGAACTGGTTCAAGCATGGGGAGCGAGCAAGGCGGCGAGCTTCGTGAGGGGAGTAGAGGAGTCGCCGCTGCAGGTCGTCCACAAAAACTTCCCCACGTTGAGAGGCCACCCAAAGGCCAGAGAGCACTTCGAGCTCGCCGCCCTGCTTCCGGAGAAGCCGACGAAGGAGTTCAAGATCTACAGATGGAACCCCGACGAACCCCGCCGCAAGCCCTTCCTCCAATCCTTCTTCGTCGACCTGCGCACCTGTGGCCCCATGGTGAGTAAGAGCAGAACCGGATCTTCGACATGGACGGGATGTAACATCTGCCGCGGGTATTGGACGTGCTTCAGCAGATCAAAGCGGAGCAAGATCCCAGCCTGAGGTACCGGAGGTCGTGCAGGGAAGGCATCTGCGGCTCCTGCTCCATGAACATCGACGGCAACAACACCGTGGCTTGTCTGAAGCCCGTCGACGCCGACACCTCGACAGCCACGATGATCACCCCTCTCCCCCACATGTTCGTCATCAAGGACCTCGTCGTCGACCTCACCAACTTCTACCAGCAGCACAAGTGCGGCCACCCGATCCTTCTGCAGAGGATGATGAAGACGATACACTTGTCCTTAATACTCCATCTGAAACATGGTCTTCACAGGCTGATCGAGCCATGGCTGAAGACCAAGAAGCCACCGGAGAAGGGAAGAAAGTACCTGCAGTCGCCGAGGGAGCGGAAGAAGCTCGACGGGCTCTACGAGTGCATTCTTTGCGCATGCTGCAGCACGGCATGTCCTGCCTAATGGTGGAATCAGGAAGCTTTCTTGGGACCGGCTGCTCTACTCCATGCCTTCCGCTGGGTCTCGGACAGGTAACTCATCAAGCTCTTCTTCGTCCCTTGAGAGACACTGTGATTACAAGCTCTGTTACTCGTCTGTGAAGCCGTGATGAGTTCACGAAGGAGAGAATACGAGGTCTGACGGAGGACGAGGACAAATTATACAGATGCAGGACCATCAAAAACTGCACAGCTGCTTGCCCGAAGAGCTTAGATCCTGCAAAAGCCATTTCTGCCATGAGGACCATTCATCAACTTCACTAGGATCAACAACTGTCAGTACCTTCGAGAAATTTGGCTTCTACTGTCATTTAAATCTCTTTATCTCCTATTACATCATAGATTCTTGCTTCTTAGTGTTTCTGATGGGTACTTTGAGATTGAAATCTGCTTTGGAGAAATGTGGTCTTCCAACAAGGTTTGAGAATCACATAAGACCTGCTTTTTGGCGGCACTGCAAATGCTTAAGATCTTAATCGCTTGCACTCGGTGTTTGCAGATCTCCATTCAAAGAACTCCGCAGAGACGGAAATGATCCAAGAAAAGGAATACAAGGCCTAAATACTGGAGGTGAAAATTACACTGTTTGGATTCCTTAGTAAAATGGAGCAGGGCCAAAGTTCTTGTACTGTTTATGTTCTTTAGTAGATGCAGAAAGACTTGGGAGTGTTACTTGACTACATAACATCTAGATATTGAAGTAGCACAAACAACCTTACGGTACAAGAAAAGCATAGCTGGTGGATGGGATGATCTGGAGGATGAACTATTCCCGAGTCGTAGCAACTGCATCCTTTCTAAAGTTTAGTTCTTTCATGGTTGCATAAACCAAACAGAGGAGACCAAGATAGAACATTCACCAGAACATAAACATCAAGTATTCCAAGTGTTCTTCCGAAACAAGAGAGGAGAGACAGTGAGGTTGAGGTGCTTCAGATGTTTCATGGGTGTCAATGCTCGAAAGATGTAAATGGATTTGGCTAGGGATACTCCAGTTGGAAAAACAGTAGAACACAGAATTGCTTGCGTGCAGTGGTTTTTTAGACATAGATGCAGCTTTAGTGTTCACTCAGCACAACAGAGCTCATTGTTAGTAGAGCTTTTCAAATGGCCTATAACTTCAATGACCACATCATAAGCATTCATTTTGTCTTCCTCGTTACAAAGTTAAATCAACCAAATCAAAGTAGGTAAGTCGTAATGACTCAATTACATAGTCAATTAATTGACCATATCGATCAATCTTTGTCATTGAACTTTATACAAATAAAAAAACTTAGTTAAATTTACATCTTTTTAATTTTTATTTGTAGTTTAGTAGCAAAACGTTTTTAGCTCTCCCCCTATTTTTTTCCTCACATTTATTTATCTCTTCTAACCTTAACATGTGTTCATATTAATTATTAATACGTTCACATCATTGTTGATAATTCTACTGATTTTATCTTTTGATTGGAGTTAAACATAATTCTTCAGAATTAATTTTTTTATTCTTTATTTACAATTATATCCAATTCAATATTTTCATCCGTCATAAGCTCTTTTTATATATTTATGGTTTTCGTAAAATATTTTTTTATTATTAATATAAATTATTTTATTTATTCTAATCACAATATACAGTGTATTTTGGTCTCTTTAGTAACATATATCATCATAAATGAATAATACCAACAATAATAAAATCATAGTCCAAATTGTCTTGGGTCAATTATGTTGACGTGAACAGGTCATTGAGTTATAAAAAATTATATCCTTAGTTAATTTAAAAGTGTTTAACTCTTTATTACAGTTTTTAGTAATATAAAATATTATATATATATATATATATATATATATATATATATATATATATATATATATATATACACAAACGATTCCTTCTCATTTTATCATCCTTCGTAACTACACTCCTAGTTATTTATAAAAAGATTCCTGTCTTCTTACTAACTCTACACAATTCTATTTCAGTAATACTATATATATATATATATATATATATATATATATCAGAGTACTGTCACTCATCCAATCTACCTTTTGAACCCAGAGATATAAATTATTAACATATATTAAGGACACATATACTAACCCTTAGTCACCCAACAACTGTGTCCATAAATCATCGTTGGCCCAAACTTATTCCTCCCACTCGATAAAAGTTGGACGCATGGGACAAATGCTTGGACAAGAAAGCCACCACCACTTCCGAGGAAGCCCTACCCATAACCAGTGTGAATAGAAGAGTCAAAAGGCACCGTCCACATCAACAGAGTGTCTAGCTCAGTAAATTGCAACGTGGCAGCAATATTCATGTCATGGAATGGCTTCCCTGCCAAACCCATTTCATGATAAGCACTTACTTCCCTGATTGTTGATGAAACAGCCCATTGCCCTTTCTATAATGGCATGGAGACTCCTCATGTCACTATTATTTGTTGCTCATATCCTCATGCAATTAAAATTGGAGAACTGTCACCGATATCTTATAAATATCACCACAGTCCATTACTAGAAAAACAAAATCATATATATTTTAGGTGAGAAATTGTTATAAGACAATACAGAATAGATGGTATATATTTTATGAAAACAAACCGATGGGGCCATGTAAATAGCGGTCCGTTTTATTCTCGAAACCGAAAGGCAAGGAAAACACACCCGATACGATACAACAAAACAGTCGTTACGGTCACCGAAATAACAGCTTATAATAGACAAAAGCCTCGAGAAGTGGAAGAGGAATAGAGCAGGGTGGCTCACTCCACGTGCGCCACGTGACTTCTGCGTGTGACCTTGTTGTCTCCGCCCTCGCCCTGGCCGCCGACGTCGTCGGGGTTGGGGCAGTAGTTGCGGGTGGCGTAGAGGCGGTAGGGGCTGGCGTCGCGGGCGAGCCACTGCTCGACGGTGAACTGCTGCTGGCTGCAGCCCATGTGGGGGCCGGTGGTGGTGACCTCGACGTAGTTACAGTACCAGCCGTGGTGGGGGCCGGAGCCGTCGGAGGTGAGGTTCATCCAGCACGGCGGCCAGGAGGTTATGCAGGGCCCGCGGCCGCTGAAGATGTCGAGGTTGCCGCGCTCGTAGTAGTCGTAGTTGGCGCCCATGAGGCCGCCCCAGCTCTCCAGGTCCTCGATCAGCACCCCGACGCCGTCCGACCCCGCCAACGCCAGGCTGATCACCGAGTCCGTCCCCGCCTTCCAGATCGACCCCGTCCGTATGTAGATAGTGTACACGCACTTGTACTCGTCGTCCTTCCCGGCAACCGCGACCTGTTCGACGAAATAACAAAGACAAATATGAGCCACCAACAACAACAGGATCTAGGATGGATAGCGTGGTGCATCAAAGGCATACCTTGACCAGGGAAGGTCTGGTGGCGTGGGAGATGGTGGCCAAACAGGAGAAGAGGAGGAGGAGGAGGATGGTCATCAAGACATTGTTGACTCCGCCGTTGGCCATGTTTGCCTCCGCTTTCTCGCGCTATGGGGGGGGTGGACGAGGAGATTGGTTTATATGCTTACCTACCCTTGCAAATGCACTGCATCAAACAGGTCGTGGGCAAAAGGGAAAGGATATTCTCGGGAGATGAGGATTCTGGGTGTGATATGCCGTGGGTGCTAGATAAGCTAAAGATGTGGAGGGTGAGGGAAAGCAGAGTTTCTCTTCAGGACCATAGTGTGCCTGTTTAATTAATCCTAACCTAATTAGTTATATAGGTAAATTTAGTTCATATATTTTTTTACATGAACACAGCTCAAACAATATAAAAGATTTTTTAGATTCACCTAAGCAATTAATGAAATTTTTTATGTTAAATTGCTTAAAATTTTAAATCAATGATTAGTCCGAACCAAATGGATCAAAATTAATATACATAAGATAAGAAATTAATTTAGTCTAAAAATTTAAGCTTATTAAGTTGGTCTGATTCCTTCAAATCCTAGTAATATAAGATTATTATTAATTATATTTTTAATTTTTACCTCGTACATGAATATTTCTTATGGCATGTCAATACTTCGCTTGCAATTAGTATATAATATTTATATATGTTCAGTATGCAAAGTTAGAAGTAATCAAAAGCAAATTGATCTACACGCATTAATTACAAATATCATATATAGATAGGATGCACTAGAAATAAATTTCTAAAATATTTTTAGCGCAGGTGTTATAGTTTTGCCTAAGATGATTGGGGATGTTCGACGTGTACTTCCCAAAGTAGTGTCGAGTTCTCGACATCTTCCCTCCTACATAAAGGCGTTCATCGATAGGGACTCTCGATAAAGTTCTTTCAGTTACAAAATCTCAAGGTATTTTAGAATATAACAAGGATAGACTCTTGTCTCAAGCGTAATAATCACGTATTCTTTTTATATTCAAATCAAAATTATCTCTAAATTAAAAAAAAAGGAGAATAATTTTTTTATACTACATCCAAAACATTGATTATCAAATATACCTACCAAAAATTAAGAATTTAAAACCTTATCAATAAATATTTTTTGGAAGATATTAATTACTTTAGCCAGTAAAGCCCTTGATTATTGATATCAAGGGATTATGGTAAGATTTACCACTCAAAATTGTACTAATTTTTCATTCCATCCAAACCCACACAAAAGCCAATTATATTAGTGTTAACAAACTCTCAAACCGTGGTCGAGGTGTTAGCACGGCTCGGTTCGACCCCCTGATGCGTAGGATCATCCGTGCGGTTGGTCATTGGATGGCGGCCTTTGTCGATTCGGGCTGAGCTTGAGGCTTATCCCCATATGCGGTACTCCATACTGGCATGTGGTTTTCTTTATAGTTAGGCTCCTGCACATAGGCCGAGGTCGAAAGGGTGGTTTCTCGACTTGATCCCTTTGAAGGTTAGTTAGTATCGAGCAAAGTTCAGGGGAATGTCTGTCCTCCCCTCCCTGACATCGATTAGTGAGCTTTTATACCTTCGAGCAAGGGTCAGTCGTACGTGATCTGATGATGAAGATCAGTTTGTACTTTTGTGTAAGCACTGACTGACCTGCACGGATCTAC